TCCTCAAAGAAAATCATGTAGCAATAAAGTAAACATCATCAAAAAATTGACATCAAGAGCGAAGTCCCAATCAGTGAATCTTCTGTTTAGTCTCCTTGTTGTTAACCCCAAGGTCGTCCATGCCTTGTATAGCCTCCTCCACCTTCATTTCGTACGTCCCTGATGCCGACAAGGTATGTTGAAGAACCGCAATGCCTTACCATGCAAGTAGTCAAGTAAACCTATCTCCCCATAGTTGCAATTGAATCTTTCGTGATGTAGGTCGTGCAAAGCCGAGTTGGATGACTGAGCGAAGACATACTCAGCTCAAAGAGTAAGTGCGTCACTTATAACCTCCAAGTATTTATAGCCAGAATGGGCAACCAAAGTGCTCAGGAGCGCCAGCTGCAGCCAGAAGCCGGTGAAGAGCACCTGAAGGGTTCTGACCAAGATACACTCCGCACAGTAAATGACCTACATGTGATTTCATTAGTAATGGGCCAATGATTAGAGGGAGTAGGTTAGAGAAGACATGCTCTATGGGGTGGGCATAGGTTGACTGGAACGGCACAGGATTTGTAAATCTAGCAATGGAGCATCAGAGTGTTCACAGTATGAGTTACGTACGAACCTATGATGGATCTTATGGATGTGCTTGTAGAGTATTTTGACATGAAATAAACGATGGATGTAATAGAATGCAATCTCGGTTATGATGATACAGGCAAACAGCTGCCACACTACTTCATCCCCACTAGGGAGACGCTCAATGAAGCCTGAGATGAAGTAGTGACTTCATCGCACAAGACTGATCCTACTCTCTCGGTCCATTATTCGGCTGAACGCGAAGTAACTGAGAATAACATAAGATCGAAGTAGTTGCTGCACACACACCTGATAATGCTGGCTAGGATCCAGTTGATGAGAACTCTGCCGAAGCCTGCAAATATAGAGGGGAATGGCTTGCTCTTCTGATGACGGCCCATCTGGACGTGTAGGACCTGATAGTTGTTGTTATTACCAAACAGCACGAGGGAGCTCCCTACTGTTGGCAGCGATATGATCAGGCCCATGCCAAAGTATGAGACGATAGCCCATGGGGCGATGATGAGAAAGAGGCATTCATCGATTCCCCACGCAAGGTTCTCCACAACTCTCTCGCGGAATACAGGATAGACGTATCTATAGCAGCACATGGTTCATGGGCTCTTGGGCATTAGGCTTACGCTGCTGCGAACTGATGTACGAATCGCACGGCGAATACCCCTAGTACAAGTTGTGATAGATTGTACCCAACAGTAGTACGGATCTGCATTCAGATTCACTACATTCTGCGCCGTTGAGCTTAACCACGAATTGACAAGATTGGCCTACCGTACCAGCCGGCTGGAGGGGTCCCGCACGATCTTTAGTGCACTCGTTCCCATGGGACTTGTAGTTGGTGGTATTGACATAGTGAGCTTCGATCACGAGAATCACACCTACACGAATGAAAACCTGTCAAAATTTAAGTCCGCAGGTTCGATCCCTGGTCGATACATTTTTACAATTATTAAATATTTCGCTCAGAAAAGGCCCCTGCAGGTGGGAGTGTCACCTTTCCTCCCGAGTGATACGCTTATGATAGGTATATCTCCTTCTTAGTTGTTTGATAGGGACTAGGATTTCTGGTCTCCTGGTCCACCTCCACTCCTTGAATGTCCCCCTTACCTGAGCAGTCGAGATCGGTGTTGGGTTATGGCGATTCGCCATCTAATACCTCACTACGAGCATCCATTGATGCTGCCAATATGGAGCTTCTGCTTCCCAGACGGATAGAGTTCGTAAGGGCCAGTGCACAGGTCACTGCCAAGGTAATAAGATCGAGGGGGTTGGAGTAGTCATACGCGTCATGCCTGACCCTAACCGGGCTCGTTGAGTATACAGGAGATATAATCACGTGTATGTTAGAGTCTGTCTGGTCTCGATAAGAAAGACGATGCACCACAAAGGCCTAATAAGTGGGTATTCCCAGAGGGTGGACTGGAGCAGTATCATGGCTGGCGAACGTCTAAATCGTAATAATAGGTGGGGATATTGCAGGGTAGTGGTCATATTAATGCTCAGCTATGGTGCTGGTCTGAGGAATCAAGGCAATACATGCTACCTCAACTCAACCCTCCAGTGCCTCTCTTATGTGAGTACTTTCGCCCAAGCCAGTGAGGCTAAGATACACGAAAGAACTTGTCCGAGGAAACGGGCGGTAGTATCGCCAACCTTGGCAGGATGCCACGTATAGTCGTACCTTAGGGTGTTTGGTGCGGACTCTGTAACCTATCTAACCTCGTTTGTCGAATACATCAAAGCCATGGTGGTCATTTATCCCCTACAGAGGTAGCCATCACAGTCCATCAATGTGAGGTACCGTGGCCTATCAGGTCCTACGCCATCTCAACCTCTACTTTGCCCGCTTCCGCCCGGGTCGGCAAGAGGATGCGCATGACGCCTTGAGGCAGCTCATCGACACGTGTATTCGCAGCGAAGCCCTGCCAGCAAAGGTCTCCCCTTCAGCTCAGAATAAGAAGGTAGGGCCTTTGTACTAGCACGCAGTGACCATTTCTCTCATTAGGCTCCTTTTGTACATCCATCGGTGTCACAGACTACTATGCTGGGACAAATGTTTGGCTATCATACCGCTCAACGTATACAATGTGCCAATTGTGGACACGTGTCTTGTACCTTCCATTTCGATATGGATATCAGTCTATCAATCTCTGTACTATCCCATACTCCTGTATTGTTGTATCATCGACCTCACTCAGAGATGCCGTACCATTGATGAATGCCTTACACGTTATTTCGCCCCGGAGATCTTCAAGGGTAGACTCTCTTTCTCGTGCATTTGCGTATCCAGGTGTGGCTATTTCAGAACAGAATGCTTATAAGTGTGCGAAGTGTAAACGTACCGTGACTGCAAAGAAGAGTACCCGGCTGTATGATGCCCCTATGAATCTCACCCTCAGTCTCAAGCGCTACTGTTATGGCCGCTTCGGTGGTCGACGACAGAAGGTGAGGCCGCTGATGCTCCTTACTTGTGGTCAGTGTGTTTGTGGTGGTCCAGGATGGTCATTATGTAAAATACGAGAAAGAGCTCGATCTTTCCAAGTTTATCGCTGATCATAGAGCATCTACTCCTGGTGTCTCCAACAAATATATACTGTAAGAGAGGGGGTATGATGGTGGCTACTCTTGGACATCTGCGCAGGTCTGGTGTATTGGTCCATTCGGGTGCAACACCGCAACTAGGGCATTATTATGCATTCGTTCGTAACCCTGCTGGATTCTGGTATTGTTGTGACGACGAGTCCGTTACCCCAGTAGGCCGTATGATCACTGTGATCCCTCTACTATACTGCTTGTTATCATAGGCTAAGGAGCATACTGTCCTCTCACAACAAGCGTATATATTGTTCTATGAGAGGAAGCGGTCAAAGAAGGACAGTAAGAGCCAGCGTCATCTCAGTGTGAGTTCAGACCATCGGTTGGCTCATATTGCACTTGAATTCTCCTTTGTAGGTTGAGTCTGAGCCGACAGTATCGACAACGAATACAGACCAGAATAAGGCGAAGAAGGCAGTGCCTGCTCCCCTTCAACAGCATCAGTCCCTCTTCTACAACTCCCTCACTACCCCTCCTGATACCCCCTCTACGACGGCTGGGGAGTTGGATAACCACGCTGTGAGCTCAGGGTCTGTGAGTTCAAGTGTTACTACCCTTACGGGTGATGAAGAGGTTCATAAAGAGGTAGATCGGCCTTAGTACTGGGCATAGTGCAGAGGGCCCTTCATCAGGCGGCCCCGACTGATCGTAAGAGGAAGCATGCAGTAGAGGATGTGGAGAGTCCTCAGAAGAAGGCACATGTTGATGCAAAAGGAGAGACATGTATCTTAGCCATCCCAGCCGTGCCTTGTTGTATCACTCTCGTCGTAGTACCTCCTGCTGCTGCTGGCCTGCAGCAAGCTGTCTTTGTCCGTATGCATCCTCCAAAGTTTGGTGATGAGGAGAAGTCAAACGATAACTCTGATCCTGATGAGGAAGAGGATCTGCCTTCTGAACCTGTCGCCAATCAAGAAGAGGATCCTGTTGTCGGGCAAGCGACGAAGTTAGCCGAGGTAGGTACAGTGGTTGTAGGCAGAAGTATCATGATGAGAGAGTGTAGGTTGTAAGGGTAGAATCCTGTGGTACTGCTGCTACTATCAAGCCTAAGGAACGAGCCTCTCTAGCGAGGAGTGTTCGCTCTCAATACGGCGCTAATAAGGTCACCAACCGCTTGTGCATCATCACCTCATTATCGTCGCTCTGGTTAGGTATCCTCATGGGATAGTGATGATGATGAGGAGAAGGAGGAAGGTAGAGAGGAGGTAGAGCGGGCTAGGAAGGAGGCTATTATACAAGCCCAGAGGCAACTACAACCTAAGATAGCAATGAGAGACTCTCACGATAGAGAGTACGATAAGGGGAAGAATAGGCACAAGGTTCGGCAACATGTTGAGGCTAAGGTAAGCACTATTGGTGTTACTATGGCAGTGCTGTCTACATCTTGTGTCAGGACAACGATTTCGCTGCAGCATACAAACGTGCGAAGGCTAGGCTTCATGGACCACGAAACAAGCAGCAGTTGATGCGGGATAAGCGGTTGCATAATCGTTGTCAAAGGCGAAAAGGGAAGCCTACCATCACCAAGAGCAGTTCATAGGTCTAATAATCATCCTACCTTCGTTCGATGAGACTTGGTCGAGAAGTATCCTATAGCGGTTCCCTATTGTTGTTGCCCTCCTGTCCTCTTCTTCTTGTTGTTGATGCTTGATGGATTGTAAATCATGATGATATTATCATACCACTACTATCACTAGTGGTACCAATAGTCACTGTCCTATATCCCATTGATAACGTCCCTTCACGATAACACTGCTACCAACGTACTTGGATTTACTCCTTATTATTACTCATCACTACTCTAGCTTGCCTTGCGTTACACGGTCAATTCCTCCTTCCTCAAGGCAAACAGTGAGGTAAGGCGATCTATGACTACCTGGTAGTTCTCATGCTTCTATCCTGAGACATCCTTCGAATGTCAAGCATCCTCTCCTGTCTGACATGCTGTTGTTGCTGCTGCTGGTACGGCTCACTCACGGTGTACTCATACCACTCCTCTCGTTATCATCTCAGCCCTGCTACTCGACATAAGGAGGCTCTGCCATGTCGGACACCGATCTATACTACAGCTGCATGCATACTTACATCAAGTTGGTGCACTCACCTTAGGAGTAGCCATAGTGTTGAGCTGTCTAATCCTCAGTTGGCTTTGTCCTAGCATTTACATCCCTTTACCTGGGAGATTGGTTTACATGTTCATGGAAGGAGTTGCTTCTTGGGACTTGGGCAGGTGGGGCAGGTATCTTAAGATACCTCTTGCGGCTTACTCGTCTCTATGATCCAGGTAAGGTCAGTCTGCTATTCGGTCTGAGTGGTATGAGGTTACGTCGAGGCGGCAGCAGTGGTGATGGGGAGTACGCTGCAAGTATCATTGCAAAGGAATGCAGAGGAATGGTAGGGGACACTGCCAGCTTGCCCCCGTAAGCGTGTATACAGGTGAATAGCACCCCAAATGGGCCAGTGTCCGAAGGGGACTGTGCGACTGTCGACGCTTTATTAGTTATTACCGATGTCACAGGAACGGTGAGGGATGCTAGTCGGCCCTGGAGCAG